CGCCTGACAAGGCTTCTCCCTACTAAAGTCCCTAAATTTACGTTTAACAACATTGCGATGTGGCGGATGTGACACGCCACCAACTTAAGTCCTTGCCCAAAAGCTCACACTGGCATATTAACCACAGCGACTTTTCACAGCACCTTAATGTATTCTGTAGCAGTACATTAAAAAGACACTTCCAGGTTTCTAACTTCCGTCTCGAATCTTTGACTTACGCTTTTACGCATTTTGAACCCAGATATTCGCCACGGCATTAAAGTTTCCGTACCTTAACAGTGTGTTCGGCATGTCGGTAAGTTTCGCTTATTATGAGAACAGCGTATTTCATGCAAAGCAACGCGCCTGTTGCGAAACCATCGCGTGTCATATCTTCATCATGCCTGTTTTAGTGAGTCTCTACGTATTCGAGAATAAATTGTGTATTTATTTATTTATTCATTTAAACCCTCCCTGGCGTTTGCAACGCAGCACTCCTGGTAGATCGTTCCTTTCTGTAACATATCTAGAAACTTGACGGAAAGGTCGGTTCATTGCAAGGAAGTTTACGTTGGCCATGGCTACCAGACTTTAATGGTGTATTCGACACAAGGAAAAACATACGCACGGAGCGTTTGTTGAATGGGCAATAGCTGGTGTGATGGGTTGCTAAGAGACAGTTCATGCCATTGAGCAAGCTGAGTACACTGTAGTGAAACTATCCATAGTAGATGGAAAAGCACCTTGTCGGTTATTTTTGCAACCTCGCCGGAACTCGTGCATCAAACCAGCAAGTCTACCAAGATGCCGCGTTTGCCATGAAACATACTACCAGTATCCGTATGATCCTGCGGCTTTAGTAGTGAAAAAGTGTCTCAGAATATTAAAATGAAGTAAGGAAAGCTAAGAACTATTGTCCGCCACCATACCAGTTAACGCGACGTATTGTTCATTGACAAAGCTACAACTTCAGGCATACAATACCTAATTTAGCAGTTCTTGTGTAGTTGCACACAGTCTGATATCATTATCTCACTTTTACTCTTCTGCAAGGCGCATTAGTAAAAGTTGGTGTCCCTTGGTGGCACACGTCCAGATCTTGTCCAGATTAGGCTCGTAAACGTTCCTTTAGGCTAAACTGGACAAGATCTTTACCGTGAAACGTCTAACAATGAATATTGTCCAGTTTACGGCGTACCAATGAAAATGATCCTGGTGTTGATTAATTGAAATTCACTGATATGCGTGGCAATCCGGCAGCTCCAGAAACCTTGCTTGCCTACCATTGCTATCCGTATACGGACAGCACACTACTATGCACTTAGTACCTAAGAAAAAGCTTGACGGTTCGGACCAAAAGTTCCCGCAGCACGTGTTGCCTTAGTTGCAGCACGTAGGAACACATCTAGGCGCCGCCACATGCTGTTGGTCTGAAAGCGAAATGGAGCTTACCGCGCACCAGTTAACATCACAAGGTTAAAGAAATTGACAACCGAAGTATAAGAATGCTTCATTACATGAAGGTGTGTAGTACAAAAATCTTGTTTGTAGCAAAAAGTGGGTTTTTCAAAGTGGTTCGTCGGTTTAGGCGGGTAACAAATTAGGAGCCTAAAAATGTTCATTAGGAAGCAGTGGATTCACCTCATTCGCATTACATTCTTTGCATTGCTCAACGGACGGACTCTTGTGTGCAGAATGCAACTACGTTTTGCTGTGGAGTGTTACGTCGGCATCCGAGGCTGCATCGCCCATGCATTGCCGAATGATGCCTTTGTAGTCTTTATGGATTACTGCAAGTCAATGTACCTTGTACAGTGACGTCCATAGTTGTTCGCCTGAATGTAAACGAACCTCCAGCGCCTGAGTAATTCATCGCCGAGGCAAATGCTGTTAGCATTAGCTGCTCCATGGTAACCGGACGACGAGTTGCATGTTACGTACAAAACTGACAAATGGTTGACTTAAACGTCTTTCACTGATAAGGCAAACTTACGTCTCTGCTTTTGAACGAAAGACGAACAAAAGACGCAGGAACCTGAGTTTGCAAGAAGTTTTCGCAAGTTATGGACCACTTCATCAGGGTCCCTGTCATCTTCACAGCAGTTGGTAACGTTATCAGATGAATGCACTGTGTGAGCAAGCATAAGTGACATACGTTGCAGATTCTCATACCTCCTTTTGTCGCTTAGCATCGGACAACAGAAACACTACTTCCTAGCTGAATCCTGATTTCAATGTTTTTGATGCACGGTAAATGTTGTTAAGACACGGAAACTCCGCAGTTAATTGAAAACGTTCGTGACGAAGAGTGCTGAAAGTGAATAAATTTGTTTCAAACAAGCTAAACTGGAAAACCTGGGAGGTGCGCCTGATTAAACGCAGTAGCAAGGGAGCCAAACAATAGCGCAAAACAAGGCGGCAAGAGAGACAAACGTTACAGAACCGAAACTGTACAATTAAACTGACCTACGGATGCATTTAATCCACAAGTATTTTGCTCAAATGGTATCACTTGTAATGCCTAACAGTCATTTCTTTATTAACAAATGACAAACTAAATGCATTTGGCTGCAAATAATATATTATCACCGAACTGGACTGCCGTTCAGTTTCTGTCCAGTTTGCAACGTCTACTGACATGTTTGTGCTACCAGTGTCAGTAAACGAAGTTATGCCGCCAACCATTAGCAATAAATGGCAGATGCTATCTACAGCAGAAGGATGTTAAGGCAGCTCCTTCGCTTGTTTCCATTGCTTAGGGAAATCCAAAGATACTACATAATTTTATGCCTTCTCGTTAATAAGAAGTACACTGTGTCCGAGCAGAAGCAACATAGTAGCATTAATGTACCACAAATCTTGTTATGAGCAAAAATGATAGTGCCGCAACCTTCCACTTAATAACAGAAAAGGATGATACTTAGTAGGGCAATATATTTTGAAAATTAAGTGAGCACACGAAACTGTGACAACAGATGAATCAAGACGGTTCAGCGTTTAAACTATGCAATTCTACTACATTTCAGGAGTGGCGCTTGTATATGTATTAAAGCAACAGTGGAGGCATCCTTTATATGGCATGTTTCTGTAGGCTACGACTTGATAACATTATTGCAGGACAACTTTAATAAATAGCCTTCATAAATTGTCTTTCTGTTGCGTTGTATAATGATGCCATGTAATGACAATAAACGGGTTAAATTCAGTCTGTCAGCCAGTAACAGCCTTAGGTAACTAAATAGGCGCATTTGAAAAATTTTACAATATAGACGGTAAATGTACCAATGCCGTAAGTACAAAAATACTGGATGTAAAAATAAGGAGAAAATAACAATGTCAAACCTAGCGAGAAACGAGCCCATAAGCGTAAATTAAACCTTCAAGATTTGCATCCATTCAAAACGGAAACGGTTTCAGTAAAACCGTCCTTGATAATTAGCATAAGTTGACGTAAAGTTTGTATTCGATTGGTAGATAGAGTAAATTAGTCTCAGTGAAATTAAAGATTGATTGAATAAAAGACATGATTGCTAATTCCTTTAAAACTGCTAAAGCTACAGTAGCTAAGATAAAACTTGATGTTCAGCGGAAAAGGCTACGACCGATTTTAGGGCCCCGCCGTATTTTGCTGCGCAGGTTGGTGTCCCTGTGCTGAGTTGGAGGTAAAAAAGAATTAAACAAGGGACATTTACCAGCATAATGAAGGTCCGCGACAGCTACTCGCAAACTGCTATAAATAGAACTGCCAGTCGAGCTGGGTGTCATTTATTGCGTCTCCAGCGTTGACCGTCTACGGGAAATATCCTAACGTTGATGTTATCTAGCGCGTTGTTCATTATCGAAAGATATCTATATATTTCCTGTGCTCTATCGTCAGCTGGTGTAACTTTACAGGTCTATAATAAATGAACTATAAAATAAAGTAGACCAATGTCAACTGTTACATGAATGCTTCCACATAAACCGGGCTAAGTGTTCCGTGCTACGTATCAGAACGGATGCTTCCTCCACAAGTTATGTGCTCGATGGGAGTGAACTTACTCAAGTAACTCATCAGGTTGATCTAGGTGTAGTCCACTGTTCCACACTACACTTTGGAGACAACTGGAAGAAGGCGGCTAGTGAAGGGATCCGGATGTTTGGGTTTATCCGTCGTGCTTTCGGGACCCTAACCGCTGATGTTTGTGAAGCTCTTCTCAGCGTTTGTGCGACCTTACCTAGAATATTGCGTCCAGGCCTGTCCACCATGCCTTGTAAGGGACAAAATGGCACCAAAAAGGGTGCTGCTTGTCGGTGCTAGGTTGGTCAAGAGATTACGAGGGCAAACGTACCCCGAACGCCTACTTAGTTTGGGGATGCAGTCAATGCACTATCGAAGGATTAGATGGGACCTAATCCTAACCCACCGTATTATGACTGGGAAGGTTGGCCCTGATTTGTCCATGCTATTTGGTCCTGCTAGATTATCTGGTCTCCGCGGGCATTGTATGAAGCTGGACAAACCGCGGTCCGATCGAGTTAGAGCGGAGACACGGTTATCATGTCGGGTCATCGAGCGCTGGAACATGCTTGCAAAAAATGCTGTCAAGAAAGCTACGGTTAACGGATTTAAACGTTAACTAGCCTCTCTTGCGTAGCAACAAGAATAAATTCCTTTTTCCTGATATTCCCATCTTCATAATTCGATTCTATTCTCTTTACTTTCCCCGTGCTTGGTATTATTCTCTTCTTTTAAACTGATTTCTCCTACTTTCTTGCCTTGCTTTTTCTTCTTCGCTTGCTTACTTCAAGTAACTGACATAGCGGGGACAGCTAATGTAAAGAACGTGGGTGTTAAATTGGTGAACCAAGGTGCTTTTCACGTGTTTTACTTTTAGACCTAGCAAGAAGTCGGAGCACCTCTATCAACTCCTGGATCGACGACCCGCTCAAGAAATAATACTTACGGGGTTCATCCTATCGCTCCAGTCCTACTTGAACTTGAACTTAAAAGATAAGAAAATGGCTGGGACTAAAATTTTGTAAGGTATGCTAAGAACAACTGCCACTTTAATTTATATGATGCTTGTCTATCTGGGCATTGGCCTAAACCTTTAAATAGTGCGTTTTTCTACATGGAAAAGTTTTGTGCCGACGCGGCGGCTCGTTTGTGTGCTTTATTTAGATTTCGTACTTTTCTGCATTTATGACTGAAATGTCAGCCCAACGCAAGTTTTTCGTTGGTGGCAACTGGAAAATGAATGGGAACAAGGAACTGAATACTAAACTAATTGAAACATTGTCCAAGGCTGAAATTGATCCCAACACTGGTATGTGACTTGCTGCACGTACGTAGGTTTCCCTCTTCAAACATAGCCAAGTGTCTCATATGCAACACTTAGTAAGGGCGTTCCTTTTGGTTCTTATAGATGTTCTCGTTGCACCCCCACTGGTGTTTCTCCGATGCGTCCGCGAGGCACTGGGTAATAGATTCTTCGTGGCTGCACAAAATTGCTACAAAGTTGCTTCTGGTGCATTCACTGGCGAAGTGAGGTAAATTTTGACTAAGCTAGCAATGTTTTCGGATTTGTCATATATCTTGCTTTGCCTTTACTGTAAATGTACTTGCGTACAAGTCTGCGCCAATTGACTCAGCGGTTAACCCCCTGCGTCACAGATGAGCCATGCTGGCATAAGTGACCGAAATGTGTCCGGAATTTGTCCGATGGGTGACCGAATGTCGTCCGAAAAAGCTCCCGATGCAACAAATTTCGGTCACATATCGGTCACTCAGAAATCTTTTTGGCCTCATAACTGCCCCTCATTTCTCAATAGAATGATTCTCCGACACCCCCTATTTAACGCGCTTAATGACGCCACGACAAGCGATGTAACGCACTCATATTCGTTAAAGTCACGTTTTAGTGGATAATTTATTCACGATTGTAAGGCTCTTGTGTGCCACCAGTGCGTTCTTTCACACGCTGCGTCTATCGACGTAATTTCTGCACGCAATATGGCAGCTGCGAGGTAGTAAATTCTGTTACATGGCTCACCTATATCTGCTCGGGCAAAATGTATCCCGGCGACACGGGACTTGTCTTGTATGCCTCGCCACTTGATCTTCTCAACGAGGCTGTTGGTCATCATCATCATCAACAGCAGTACTTCAGCCATTTGAACAAATGCTTCGCTGCCATACAACCATGAGAGGCTGTTTATGTTTGAAGAAAATGTCATGGTTGTATGTGGGCTGAGATACTGCCAGGGCGCCCAGACCTAGACAGGAGGACGATTAGGGTCCTCATCCAAAGCCTTTGGCTCAAAAGCCTGTCCGCCAGGCAGCGGGGTGGCAGTGATTTAGTTTTACAGAAATGGACGCCATCCCATTTCAAACTCCAACTTGGAGGACCAGGAGACTGAGTTTGTCTGACCTCTCACCATTGACCAACCTGGTAGGAGCAGCTCTCAAGATGCCCGAAGACATCACCCAGTATAGCTCAATGGGTCTATGTGGTACGCAAACCGTCGCACCACGTTAAGGTCCATTCTCGTTGTGACGGAGGCTGTTGGTGAGGCCAGTCGACATAATGCCTCGAATATATATTAGCAATTATACACTAGACAAACATTTGCAACGCGATTGACCGAAATTGCTCCACCATCGGTAAGGGTGGTAGCTAGCCGTTCCATTTGGGCTACTTTCGGTCACTCGTAATATGGAAAAGAAAACAACAAAAGTACTGCCATACTATACCTAAATATGGCACGAAACCTTCAAATGCATTGTTGACACCACCAATCCTTATGTAGACTGTTACCTTTTTATTGTACACTCAGTCTGCGTAAGTGACAGCTTGACCGCGGCTGAACGACAATTTTTGTGCCCCTGGCTATTCCGGTAAAGTACAGCCGAGACGAATTTCGGTCACTCACAATAAGTTTCCACCTTACCTTACGTCTTCGACACAGTGTTATGAACACTTTGCTACCAATTTTTGCTGAGCATAGACGGTGTTTGCGATTAATAATGATGTACTCATGCGGCCCGTAGCCTAAAGGATCACAAGCATGTCTTGTAGTCCTGTTCGCGAGTTAAAGCCTAAGCAGGGGATAGGGCGACCCTCTCAGTATTCATAGGCCACGCGCCTCTGTTGATGGTTACGCGGCAGCGACGCTTCGGTACTGCGTACCGGCGTACTACCTATGCCTTTTACTCACGGCACCTGTCAAGGCTGCGCTGGAAAGGTTTCTTCTGAGTGACCAGAATTTGTCCCACGCACGTCCCACTGGGACTCATAATCCCCAAAACCTGTCACTCAATGCGTTCCAGTCGTCATTTCAGCGTATGAAAATCGGTCACTAGTGTTATGTGTGGACCGAATGCCTGTATATTATCTCGTCAGTTTCTTCGTTTTTGCTCCTTGTTTTTAAAGCTAAAGTATGGTTTTAGCATAGTTTTCTTTTCGGAAGCCTGTTTTATCCATCCGTTTCTTCTTGTTCCTGCACAAATCGCGGTTCCCTTGGGTGAAAATAATTATTATCCTAGTGTTCCGTCGTAGTGGCTAATTCATGACTGTTCTTGGGGAACAAAATTAATCTAAATTATGGATGGACATATTGCTGGCGACTTCACGCTCACCTATCTTTTCTCTTCCCTAGAATATGCTGAGTGATGACATGCTGATCTAACATGGTGTTATCTGTTGCTTTTAACCACATTGGTGCCTCATCCCTGGGACTATTGACTTTTACTTGGTATATCATGGATTCTGTCTAACCGATGATCTCATAACAGTCGAACAAGGCCTACCCACTCAATGTTTCGGTGTTTCGGCTAACTTTGCTCCACTTTTGTCGGAACGCTGCGCGCCACTACTTCGTATGTCACCGCATTGTGAGGCACGTTGGACTTGGTGCAAAGGCGCGCGTACCAATTTTGCATTGTTCTCACTTCTTTCGCAACATGTGGCCACCTAACAAATAACACAGGTTTCTGAACCTTTTATGTCAATTCACTATTTAACTTCACGTTATTCCATCTGTTGCTTCATGTCTGTCATATTTTAGCCCTGCAATGATCAAATGTGTTGGATGCGACTGGGTTATTCTTGGCCACTCAGAACGCCGGCACATTTTGATGGAATCCGACCAGGCAAGTATAGTAGCTCACTGCTTTATCCCATGGTCATATTACAATTTTACACATTGTGTCATCTCTACTGAACCGTTTTTATTATGCCAACTCAGGTTTTAAACTTTTTGTGTTCATTCACTATCGTTGCAATTGTTGCTTGAACGTCAGCCGTACGCAGTGCCGACACTTCGCTGACACGCAACTACCACAAATCGCACGTGTTCTAAGGATCCTGTGAGGGTCGCCCGGTCCATATGCAGGTTCAAACCCACGCCCTCAGATTGCAAGGTACCCACGGACGCCGAGAATTTCTGAATCACCATGTGCTGGATTCTACTTTTGCCCCGGATTACTGTGTTATACGTTCTTTTTCCGTGAATTGTGCACCGATATTTTTATTTTGACGTATTTTCCAATATGTGCAAGTTAGGTAGATAGTCTGGCTAATTCCGGAGGTCTCACTGATTCGCCCAACTGCCGCTTGTGTCCGCCATTTTGGATTTGTTATAACTTGAGATGCCGTCTCAAGCACTTCGGTGCTTTGGCTGGGACGTTTTGTTCCACATTTCGTGCGTTGGCTATCCGTGGACGTCTTTTGAAAATCCCTCTAAATCCGACATCGGTTTTTCTAAGTTGTAATGGATAAATGTCGCGCATGGAACTACTGAGCTACATCTAACTAATGTTTTCGGTCGCTTGCGATTATGTTTAGCCTCGGCGAATAACTCTTAGCCACTTCTTTCACATGCCGCAATTGCCCGTGAACAGTAGTCATTTAGCTATATTACTGAGTTAGCTTTTAGCGTTATTACATATATCAGTGTATATCATGGTGGACACGTTTTTGTCTTTGCTTATCCGCTTTCAGTTTGCAAATTTTTGCGTTTCTGTTGGCCATAAGCCATGGGGATTGGCAGCTGTCGGTCTCCTTATCTGCGTACTTTACGTGTTTTACGCCTCCGCGCGCTATATGTTGAATCTGATACCGCGCAATTGCAGTGAACTAAAACATTTCGCCTAAAACCATCGTCTTTGTGACCAAGATCACTATTGGTCCGAACCATGCGTTTTGAAATAGAAGCACAAATTGGTAGCAGTCTAACTGATCGCTGAGCTTGGCAATTTTGTTGCAACGTTTTGTCACCAATAGAGGTGACCTCATCAGTGCGTTGTTGAATAGCGTGTTGTAAGTAGCTTAGCGTAGAGTAGTCTCGATGTGTTTTGCTTTATCTGGGTACCTACTCTGCCTCGATTGTTATAGCTACAGCCTAAGAGTTAAGTGGGTAGACGACGTCCTGCCTTGCTTGTGCTTTGAACAACTGTCCCGGGTCCTTTGGAACTACACTTAGGATATAGAACTGGACGCACCAATGGATTCTTGGCAACGTCATAAGCCATTCTGCCTCATCATGCTGACGTAGGTGCGACCACTATCATTTCTTAACTGGTTGTACGGCTTTTTGTGCATTACAGTAATTGTACCTAGTCTGGGTTGGGATCACCTGTTTTTATGGTTGCTACTTTGGGCCAGTAACTCCAGACGTGGACACCGTTTTTATGACCGCTGCCTTGCGACACACGCTTTGTCTGGACACTATTATATCCTACTCACATGCCACAGATGTGGGTTAAATGCAGGCACTCACTGTATGTAGTTTGACGACCGATTGTTTTAATATGGTCCCTGTTTCCTAGCAAAGCTTCTACGTAGTCACCGGACCTCACTGCTCATCCTCACTTTCTCATTCGACATAGGCCACATTTTGCTGGGTTTTAATACAAGAGCTTTCTGTCTCTGACGTCATTTATTTCCATAGTTATCCTATCACTGCTATTTACTTAACCCAATTCACTTATTACTCACTTTTGTGCATAATTCTTTTGATATAATCAGTCCGAATTAAATTGGTATGGATAACTTGCTCTACATTACTTGCGTCTGTCCTTCTCCACAGACTGACTGGCACTCGTAAAAGCCAGATTCATGAAGAGCAAGCTGGGTTTCGTCGAAATCGAAGCTGCATCGACCATATCTTCACTTTGCGTCAGTTGTTGGAGCACCGCCATGTTTATTGGCGACCCACCATTATCGTGTTTCTCGGTATCAAAGGTGCCTTCGATTCGGTGGATCGATGTGCACTTATGGACCGTCTGCTGAGGAGAGGTATGCCCGATAAATATGTAAACATTATCAAAGCGCTGTACGCGCATAGTTCGGGCAGAGTGAAGGTTTATGACAAACTGTCGCCGCCCTTCATTATCTCCAGCGGTGTGAGACAAGGTTGCCCGCTGTCACCTTTCCTCTTTAACTTCGCTATTGATGAAGTCATGGGCACAGCGTTCGCTGGACACGACCTAGAAGGTGTGGAGCTGCTTACTGGTGAACGAATTCTTAACTTGGAGTGTGCGGATGACATTGCCCTTATATGTGAGCGCCCAAACGTGCCAGGTTGCATTTGACCTATTAGCATTGGCTGTCAATCGTTTTGGGCTATGCTTTGCTCCATCGAAATGCAAAGTACCTTTCCAAGAATGCCAGGGACCCACTCCTGCGCTGACCCTTGGTGGTGATCAGCTGGAAGTCGTTCATGAATTCAAGTACTTGGGCAGCTATATTAGCGCCCGTGGAATCTAAGCTGAGGTTACGAGCTGTGTAGCAAAAGCCCGAGATGCTTTTGCCAATTTCCGTCACCTGTGGCGCAGGCATGACATTAGTCTCGCCCTGAAGGGTAGCATGTATAATCCAGCCGTCCGTTCAACCCTCTTATATGGTTGTGAAACCTGGTCCATCAGGCTGGTTACGTTCGATCCTTGCTGCCTTCGCAGCTTAGCTCATGTATGGTGGGAGCATCGCGTAGCAATGAACGTGTTCGACGTCGCGTATTTGGTGCAGGAAGAGCGAGTGAACCGCTCAACACCATTATATCACGCACCAGGCTCCAATGGCTGAGCCACATGTTGCGCATGCCAGCACACCGACTCCGGCGACGCACATTGTTTGCGCGCCGGGGCTGCGGTTGGAAGTGGAAGAGTGGAGGTCAAGCGATGACTTGGTCGAGCGAAATGAAACTCCTCACTTTGAACTTGGCGTCGGTTGGTGCATCCAGACTGCCCGGCTGTGATCCTAAGGACGATGAACAGGTTTGCTTGGATACACTTGCTGATATGGCTAGGAGCCGGCCCCAATGGCGTTTGTGTTGTGAGTTCCTTTTTCCATCCCCTCCCGCTTAGCCTCCCTCCAATCACGATCTCATTCGGTAGGCGTAATATAACTCTCCTTTTGCTGCACGATAGCCGGCTGTTAGCTCTCCGGAACGATGTCAATCCGTTACTGGGGACTCAGCTGACATGCCTCTGTTGTTTTTTTTCTTGTCTTTTATATTGCGACACAATAGCTGAGGTATTTTCCACCTGCAGCCAACGTGTATAATGATGGTGATGATGACTTGCTCTACAGGTTCTTGCCTCACCACCTTATGGCGCTTTCCGGACAGCTAGGTTGTATTGATTATTCGGGCATCTGGTTTACTAGCTCAATCTGTTGCATATAGGTACAATGCCTTCAACTTTCTTCGGTTGTGAATAATTTCCTTGTGCGCATTTGGCTATTGGCTTTCCGAACTATTGCGCAAGTAAAGGTGTGTCTATCGCCGCATGTAACGTTTTATGGGAGAGATAAATACCTTGTAGAAACCTACCTGTGAATTGTGGTTCGATGCCTGCAGAGGGAGACAGCCGCCCACGTTTCTCTTCCAAGTTGGGTTCATGACGTAAGAGGTTAATTGAACTAAACATTGCCCTCAGCATAAAGCTTTGTTATTATTTACGTTACTTCCGCACTGCATTTTCATACCTTTACACATTTTATTCCATAAAATCAGTATCCGTCTGGTGTTCTGCGTTTATTGCTAAAATTACCGTAGCATGGTGCTTGTGCTCACGGCGATTGCCAGTTTGATGCTGTAACACTCTGAATTTGTATTCAGTCCTGCTTATTATATAAAATGCCTTGGCGTTTGCACACTTCCGATACCACATTTTGGAACAGAAACCCTGCACCTTTATTGTCCGTTTTACATCTTTTAGTTATGTTTCTTATGGGGTTATGTCGGTACCACTTAGCTGTTGGCTTTTGTGTAGAGCGTACTCAAACAATGTCCTTGCTAGACATCTATTTTCTTCTAGGTTCCTTATCCATGCACCAGCCTTAACGTTACCTCGTTCGCAACGTATCGTGATATGTATATTAAGGACAATTCGTTTTGTCTCTCATGTGCCTTTTTCAGCTTGTCGGTGAAAAAGTTGGTCATGCATTAACTGAGGGGCTGAGTGTAATCGCTTGTATTGGTGAGAAGCTGGAGGAGCGGGAGGCAGGTAAAACGGAGGAAGTTTGCTTTAGACAAATGGATGCGATTCGGCGTGAGTCTTTAGAATAATGCTTTTCGGTTGATCGTTTTGCACAACTGAGCATATGATCGGCACGCCTCGTCTGTCATTTTAGATTATCTCATTTTTCGACACCACCCTTTTGTTCTCTTTTTAGTGTATTTTTACACAATTTTAGTTCTTGTCCTTTCGAATTTGGTCAGGTGCATTCTTGTTTGTGTTGCATAAGTAAACATCTGAATAACCTTGCTAATTAGGCTATGGCGGTGATGTGCCGACGAGGAATATACCATTCAACTCAGAAGGCCTAGCGAGGGTTCGCAATCACTCACTTTAAGGACCCGTTTCTAGTGCTCTCACTGCGTACTGCGCCTGTGTGTTAGGGTTTTGTACATAATACGGGAACTATTGAACAGCTCACCAGTTCGGTTACCATTTTTTAACTGACCTAATGTTGACAGCTACAGTTATTGCCCCTTGCTGCATGACCCTACACGGACTGCTGTGTAGAAATTTACTTTCAGTTCACGTGTTGTTGCTCAGCATTCAGCGTGGTACGTGTGGTCACAGCATTTTGCAGCTGGCCCACTGTTGTTCTCTTTTTTCCAGGATTCACAACTCTCAAAGTTTTAAGCCTGTGTTTCGTCAATTAGTCTTTGTAAGGTGACCATTTACTCTCCTTGGGATGAGTAGCTCTGCCTCAACCATGAAATGCTTCGGGGTAATGCATTTTGTCAATGAGTTCCACTGGGAAAAATAGCCGTATGCTTTTTTCTGAACGTAGGGGACGCTGTCTAACTAGGAACTGGCTGCGACGAATCTCTTTTAAAAACTTCAAATAGCTTTGACTTAACATTCTTCTGACTACATGCAACGTACCTTGGCTAACCCAGTTCATTAACGATTTTGTTAGTTTATTGTAGTCAGGGCAGGGGAAACGGATGATCTCACACTGTCACTAAGAATAAAAGGGGAAAAATTGGTCGAAATTTTGTAAATGCCCTAATCATTGTTTAGAATATATAACAGACGCAAGATACTAGGTGCAAATCGTCACTTACTTATCGCCTGAGTCAAGCCTTGTTGCTCAGCTTTCCGATATCATCGACTTATTAGCTGAGGTCAGATATTAATTGCAACACAGCGTTCATCCGATTGGGATGAATAGTTATTAAGATTGGCCATCAGTTTCGTTTGACGCTGTTTCGCGAGCCGAATCCAACAGGCAAGACGCTGTTCTAGCTCTTGTTGTGTGAGGCAATCAAATTTCTATGTGCTCTAGAGGTGCCTGTGTATCAGCGACTGCAGTTTGCGCATTCCTTTTTCATATGCCCAACTACATGGGTACTCAATCATACCATTAACCGACGGATGGATGGAGTGCAACCACTTTTGTTTTCACCGGCCCTCTGCTTAGTTGATTTTTCCAAATTAATGATACCCAACACAATCACATGTAGCTATTGACCGCGGCTAAATTTTGCCCATTTTCTGTACAGCTTGTGTCCTGTGTAGCGCCTTGACGAATGCTACACAAGAAATTCGTAGCCCAGTAAGACAGAAGACGGCAGGATATAAAGATTGTCTTGAGAAAATAGCTATGTACAATAGCTATGTAAATATAGCCTGAGGACAGTGGGAGAAAGTGGTGAAGCAAGGAGTTACACCACGTTGGAGCGCAACAGCCGGCAACGCGCGGGAAAGATGGCGGACCTGGTTCAAAAATGCAGTCCGGTATATATAAGCTTTGGAGGAGTGCAAAGTAAAACAAAATGTGTACAAGTCTGATGGCGATGCTTGATGGAGTAAAGTGTCATTGTCACTACACAGGCCTCCCCTAGAAGGCCGAGGGACGAGGACTTCGATCGATGGTGGCTTGCAGATGTAAGAAAGGCAGAATTATAGGAGTTCGTTGGTATTTAGATTATTTATTCTTCTTGTGGATTGGGATGCATCATCGGTGGGCCGTCCCAGCGGGCACACCGGACTACAAAAAACTGGCTAATCCAGAAAAAGGGCCGGTAGGACCTTTCACCGCTGCTGAAGGACGGTGCGCTTGGGAGAGGTCACTCCCCCCACCGCATTCCAATCCACTGCCACAACGAAGCTGAAATCCTGTTCGTACCGGCGAGCCGTGGGGGGACCAAAAACAACGAGCCAAGCACACGAGCAGCCAAAGCCAGGAAGGCGAGCCAGACAAACGACCTGAGCGAGCCAAATTGAGCCAAGCAGACCACGATCCAAAGGCCAACGTGGGCGGGCGAGACGACAAAGCGTTGGGGGTAGACCAAAGCATCCAAACGACCAAAACAATTGAGAAACAGCCAACCGTTGAACGGACGGACCCAAACGTGCCAGCCTCATGACTTTACCTGATGGGGAAAAAACTCGGGGAGACAGATTCAGATATTTACTCTGCTAACGGAAAAGCATAATACAAACAACGAGAGAAAATGAAAAAGATTCATGAGGTGTGGATGAATTCGACAAAATCGGAGAAACGAACAGGTTTACGAACTCTTCTACCGTGACTGGTATTAGTTTGCGGCGAATCTGATGACTGGGATTGTGGTGGAGCTGAAAAGCTGGGCGTCGTTACAGGTGGCTCTGTAGATTGCGTTAAGGTCGATGATGGAACAAACTGTTGTTCATCGATGAACGCAGGCTTGACGCGATCTATCGAGACAGTATCCCTTTTACCCCCACGGTCAATCACCAAAGTTTTTGAAGACCGTTTAATAACACGGTATGGACCTGTGTAAGGTGCGGAGAGAGGCTGTCTCACTTGGTCGACACGTAAGAATACGTGAGAACATGTAGAAAGGTCTTTCGGAACGTGCACTGGAGTGCGTTGTTCCCTGGGTCTCGCGGGATGCAGCTGACGCATGTGGTGCGTCAGACGAGCTATGTAGCTCTTGTAGTTCCATGCCCTCTCCGGGGTTGGGGCGACTAATTGTCCAGGGAGACGCAATGTGCAGCCATAAACGAGTTCGGCCGGAGCAGCGTTAATGTCGGTTTTGACAGTATTTCGTAAGCCAAGTAAAACGGTGGGAAGCGCTTCGTACCAGTCTGCGTTATCATGTGCACATAGTGCAGCTTTCAGCTGGCGGTGAAAACGCTCAACCATGCCGTTGGCGGCAGGGTGGAATGCAGTCGTTTGGACGTGACGGCAGCCGAGGGTCTGAAGAAGGTGAGCAAATGTGCCTGCGAAGTGCGAACCTCGATCAGTTGTCACAACGGCAGGACAACCAAAGTGTGAGACCCAGCGCTCTAGAAAAGCGCGAGCGACAGTGTCTGATGAGCAATCTGGCATTGGGATGGCATCAGGCCATCTTGTAAAGCGGTCTATACAAGTCAGCAAGTAAACGCATCCATTAGATGGGGGCAGTGGCCCAACAAGGTCAACATGAATATGGTGAAAACGGGCATCAGGAAGTGGAAATGAACCAAGCGGACTTTTCGTGTGTCGATGAACCTTAGACTGTTGGCAACTAAGGCACGTACGAGCCCACTGTCTAACGTCCCGGTTGACGTTGCGCCACACGAAGCGTTGTGTGACGAGCTTAACTGTGGCACGAATGCCTGGATGTGATAAACTGTGAAGAATGTCAAACACAGTGCGTCGGAAAGCTTGGGGAACCACTGGTCGTGGTGAATTTTGCGAAACGTCGCAAAGTATGGTTCCATCCGAAGTAGGCAGTGGAACTGGTCGTATGCGCAAGGAGCTAGAATTACGAAGCTGATCCAGCTCTGGGTCGGTCTGTTGAGCAGCAGCCATTGCCGTTAGATCGATACCTTCAGCGGACGTGATGGAGCTGACGCGAGAAAGAGCATCAGCGACGGAGTTCTGCACACCCGAGACGTGCCGTATGTCTGACGTAAACTGTGAGACATAGTCCAGGTGGCGTATCTCTCTCGGAGAGTATCGGTCGGATGACGAGTCGAGGGCGTAAACTAAAGGTTTGTGGTCAGTAAAGACGGTAAAGCTTCTGCCCTCTAGAAAAGGACGAAAATGACGGATGGCGAGGTAAACTGCCAGAAGTTCTTTCCCGAAGGTGCTGTAACGTGTCTCCGCTGGCTGCAACCGTTTCGAAAAGAAACCCAAAGGTTGCCATGTATTGTCGACAGCCTGCTGAAGAACAGCACCAACGGCCTCGTCTGAGGCATCAGTGACGAGAGAAATTGGAGCAGATGGTACGGGATGTGCTAAGAGAGCAGCATTAGCGATTGCGTCTTTAAGGTTTGAGAAGGCTAATCGCGCGGACTTGGTAAAAACAAACGAACGTTGATTGCCCCGAAGCAAGTCAGTCAAGGGCTGCATTATCCTAGCACAACACGGAATAAAGCGTCGGTAGTAGTTGACTATCCCAAGGAAACGTTTAAGCTGTTTAAACGACGTAGGTTCAGGGAAATCTTTGATGGCGGTTACCTTTTGAGACAGTGGTTCAATACCTGTAGCTGAGATGCGGTGACCTAGGAACTCGATCGACGATTTTCCTAGTTCGCACTTGCTAGGGTTCAAGGTAACGCCTCGATCAGATAGGCGTTGGAATAGAATACGCAGATGCTCTAAGTGTTGCGACTTAGAGGCGCTAGCTACTAGGATGTCATCCACGTAAGGATATGCGAAGTCCAGACCACGAGTAACGTCATGGATGAACCGCTGGAATGTTTGAGCAGCGTTCCTTAACCCGAAAGGCATTCGAAGGAACTCGAATAAACCAAAGGGTGTTATAACTGCAGTTTTGGGGATATCGCAGTCCTCTACAGGAATCTGGTGATATGCTCGCGTCAGGTCTATCTTACTAAACACTGACTTACCACCGAGACTACTTGTAAGGTCCTGGATGTGCGGTATAGGATACCTATCTGCAACTGTGCACTTGTTCAGCGCCCGGTAGTCTCCGCAGGGCCGCCAGTCGCCGCCTTTCTTGGGCACCATGTGGAGAGGTGAGGCCCACTGACTTTCGGAAGGACGGATGATACCAAGTTCGAGCATGTGCTCGAATTCCGCCTTAGCGGCTTTTAGCTTA